ATAGACCATGGCTGGAAAGACTAATTAGCAGACATTGAACTATTCCCTGTTTACACACACACACACACAAAAAAAAGAAAGTCAATTGCTTATTTCTTACTACTCTGTTTCAACATTATTACAAGCCATTAGTGATCATTGATCAGATCTGTCAAAATCAGTGAAGCATGTTGCAACAAGTCTTTTTCTCTTGAACCATCAAGAAATTGAAGAAAATTGCTAATGTTATTTCTATATTCCATTGTTATTAATAATGCTTACTATGTGTGCAATTCAATATGTTACTGTTGACTTCACTTAGGATATGCATTGAATAAAAGGATTTATTAAAAATAATAATGGGTCTCAGGAAGCCCCTACTTTGCAGGTGACAGCGGAAGAAATGTACATTCAAGAAGGAAAATCTCTTTTTGTTTGAGAACTGAAAAAAAAAAGTGCACTCTCTCCACCCCATTCACACATGGAGGTGTGGAATTTAAATATATTTTGACAAAGCGAAGAGAGCTGTCTCTGTAATATATTACTGTCAATGAGTTTTAGAACTATTTCCCTTGCAGGTTAAGAAGAAAGGCCAGGAGAGGAAATGACTAAATCCTCTGTATATCTTCATTGACAGCTAATAATTAACACTCAGTTTAGCAATAATAATTAGTTCCCTCTTGAGAAAATTTCCGGATGAACTCTGAGCTGGCGTAGCTCAGGATCTTCTTGTTTCTTTGTCCACCCCCTCCCCCAAGTAATTCATGTTATTTTTAGAGGAAGAAGAACTCAAGATGAGCTCCCTCCTTTTAACTGAGTCAGCACTGTCCATGATTTGCACCGTGTTTTCTGGAGATTACCTGAGATTAGAGTTTCTTTTGTCCCCCTTTTCCTGTATGTTTTCTGATACTTTCATGGAAGCAGATTGTAGTCCGAAAGGATAAAGAAGTTAGCCATTGCTTAGTAAATATGCCGAGTGTGCGGACTATACTTTGGAACTAAGATCACTAATAATGTGACTTAAAGTGCTAGCTTTAAAACTAAAAGGAGAAAAAAAAATGAGAAGGAGAAAAGCTTTCTGCTAGAGCCTCCTTTGGCTTTAGTATACAACAAGAAACTAAAAAAAATTAATTTTCTCAAAATTAAGATGTATGAAAATGTCATGAATTGTTAAATGTAAGCAAGGTGAAAACTTCTGTAGTTATTTGAGACAATTTATAAAATAGAAATTAAAGTTAATAATAATTAAATTTTATATAAAACTGATTTTTTTTTTCCTGTGGATGCCATTGCTGTTGAATTATTTTGAATCACAACAAGGCCAACTATTGAATATTGGAAAAACCTTTCATTTTATCTTGTTATTTATTTATTTTTATTTATTGATTAAAGTATCACATATGTGTCCTTAACACCCATTGCCCCCCAAGTCCCTAGTCATGCCCTCACCCCGCTGGTATTTGTGTTCATTGGTTAGGGGTATATGTTTGCATACAAATCCTTTGGTTGATCTCTCCCCTTTACCCCCATCCTCCCCTACCTTCCCTTTGAGTTCTTATGGTCTGATCAATGCTTCTTTGTCTCTGGATCTGTTTTTGTTCTTCAAATTATGTTGATCATTATATCTCACACATGAGTGAGATCATGTGATATTTATCTTTCTCTGACTGGCTTATTTCGCTTAGCACAATGCACTCCAATTCCATCCATGCTGATATAAATAAGAATTCCTTCTTTTTTACTGCAGCATAGTATTCCATTGTGTAGAATTACCACAGTTTTTTAATCCACTCATCTGCTGATGGGCACGTAGGCCATTTCCAAATCTTAGCTCTGATAAATTGTGCTGCTGTTAACATAGGGGTGCATATATCCTTTCTGATTGGTGTTTCTAGTTTCTTGGGACATATTCCTAGAAGTGGGATTACTAGGTCAAATGGGAATTCCATTTTTGTTATGGGATTGGATTCCTAAAATATACATGTTCTGCTATTTGTGAATGCCTAGTAAGGAATGAAAAAAGTATGATTCTGCTGAAACCAGTTTGGCTTGGTGGATAGAGTGTTGGCCTGTGGACTAAAAAGTACCAGATTCGATTCCAGTCAAGGGCATGAACCTTGGTTTCGGGCACATTCCTAGTGGGGAGTGTGCAGGAGATATTTCTTTCTCAAGGATGTTACTAACTCTCTATCCCTCTTACTTCCTCTCTGTAAAAAAAATTAATAAAATATAAAAAATAGTATGATTCTATTTTGAGACATTAGTTTTTCAGGATTCAATAACATCTAAATCTCTCAAATTTCTACTTTATTTCTTCCCAAATAGAACACCTGATTATTCTGTCCATCTCTTCCTCAGAACTTCTTCTAAGATTTTGATTAGATAGTCAAATGACTTAGTATCACAAGTTTTACCTTTATAAGGAATAACTTGATTTTAGCAGTGTTGCTTATTTTAAACTAAAGATTAAAAGTTATCCCTACTCTAAAAAATGTGGGGTATCCATATAGTAGAGATATAGACAGTGAATACATCTGTAATAGATTAGAAAAGATACTTCATCTCTCTTTTCTCGGAAACAGTATAAGATTGTGCGGAATCCTATAGATTTATCATATTTCATGTTGTTCAATAGAAGAAATGTTCTGGTCACCAATATTCCACATTCTCTATCAGATGCATTAGGCATTGACCTTTGGAAAATGAAGTTATCTTCTAATTTGTCAATATTTCCCAGGGAGCCCTCTTCAGGAATTCTCTAGAACGCAAGGTCTAGCATTACTATTGGAGGGGAGAGGTCCTCGTCCCCACCTGTAGTTTGTGGGAGTGGGCTTCTTGTGATATCCAAGAAAAAGAATTTTCTAAGATTTGCATGGGAGAATGAGTGGTTTTTATTTGCATATAATTGAATCCCTGAGTTCCCACGGTTGCATTTCCCTCAGCCTTACCAAGGAAGAAGTCCCATTTTGCCTTTAGCAGGACTAAAATCAAAGCCAATGTTTGGAGCTTCCATTATATGTTGGAGCAATCCAATTCAGCATCAGGCTAGCTTGGTTTGTATTCCTAGTTGCAACCCATCAGTCCATTGTCCATTGCATGTAGGGTCCACAGGGTCACATGGCTATAGAGAAAACATGGGAGAATGCAAGGAAGCAGGAGCAAGAGAGCCCGTCAGCCAAGAATAGGAGAGGAGAGGAGAGGAGAGGAGAGGGGAGGGGAGGGGAGGGGAGGGGAGGGGAGGGAGGGGAGGGGAGGGGAGGGGAGGGGAGGGGAGGGGAGGGGAGGGGAGGGGAGGGGAGGGGAGGGGAGGGGAGGGGAGGGGAGGGGAGGGGAGGGGAGGGGAGGGGAGGGGAGGGGAGGGGAGGGGAGGGGAGGGAGGGGAGGGGAGGGGAGGGGAGGGGAGGGGAGGGGAGGGGAGGGGAGGGGAGGGGAGGGGAGGGGAGGGGAGGGGAGGGGAGGGGAGGGGAGGGGAGGGGAGGGGAGGGGAGGGGAGGGGAGGGGAGGGGAGGGGAGGGGAGGGGAGGGGAGGGGAGAGGAGAGGAGAGGAGAGGAGAGGAGAGGAGAGGAGAGGAGAGGAGAGGAGAGGAGAGGAGAGGAGAGGAGAGGAGAGGAGAGGAGAGGAGAGGAGAGGAGAGGAGAGGAGAGGAGAGGAGAGGAGAGGAGAGGAGGGAGATTTTTTTTCTTTAGGGGATTATGTATTTCCAAATTTTTGTGGTCTTGTAGTGGCCCTGCCCATTCTGACCAATGATCTTTGTCCCAAGGTTTGACTGATAAGCACCTTCCCTAGTCACCCCCACTTCACTGAGCATGCATCTATCTCCCCTTTGCTGGATCCTTCCCACAGTGATCTGTAGGGAATGGGCCAGTGGTTCACTGAGAGTATGAAATTGAAGCTTCCTAGTAAAGCTGCCTAAGTGCCCATGTTTATAATGTATCACCTCCCTTTCTATTATTAATAATTGACTAATTACAATGGTATCAGTATTGGGGATGATATCCTCTCTGGTCATCAAAGGCTCTCATATATCATTTACCAAGCATAAGTAACTGCTACATGCAATTAAACACCTTCAACAAACATAACAAATGTATACACATAATGTGTTTCCCAGATTCTGACTTCCTAAATTAAGTGTATTTTAGTTAAAACAAACAATTGTAATTTCTGATGTTGGGAAGAATACATAAACACTAGCCAAAACACATTGGTAGAAAGTAGATGCCCACCAGGTTTATCACTCGTCCCCAATATACTGAATGCCATCATGGGTTACCTCGTTGTGTCAACAAACCTGTTAATTCCCAGACTTGAACAATTTGATTTTGGACATGACTTTCAAAACCAATTTCTGAGTTGGTGTTCATCTGAAATTAAATGGGAATATTTATTGTAGACTTGGGATTCTTGTTGCACATAGAAAAGTAAATATAGAAGTCACTAAAAGAGTTTTTTACCCAGCACTTTAAAGATTGTGAAGGATAATTCTTTCTGTATTTAAAAACATAGGATAAATACCTTAAGTTGAATTGAAGTATTTAGACTGATAAACTTATAAAAGATTATAACTCCTGCACATTAAAATGTTGCACTCCTTTTTTTGACATACTGGGCAAATATTTTAAAATATTTTCCAGTTTTGAGATATAGTGGTGATATAACATTGTTAAGTTTAAAGTGTACCACATATTGATTTGATATGTGTATATATTACTAAATGACTACCTACCACAAAAAGTTTAGTTAGCATCCAACAAGTCACATTGTTAATTTTTTCTTTTTTCTTTTGGAAACTTTTACGAACTTTTCTCTTAGGAACTGTCAAATATGCAATATAGTATGGTTAATGCACTGTGTATTTTTAATCTTTGTGAGTAATGTATTTTATAACCTTTATATTTCTGATAAAATGAATGTAAACTATACAGTTCCAATAGGTATAAAAATGCAGCCATGAGAAAAGTATTATAAAGGTATTTTTGTTTTCTCTTGTGTTGAGCATTCATTTCCTTTTGCATTTCAGAGCTCTTGGAATTGAACAGAACATCCATCTTCCACAGCCCTTTTGGATTTCTTGATCTCCATACAATGCTGCTGGACGAATATCAAGAGAGACTCTTTGTGGGAGGCAAGAATCTTGTGTATTCCCTCAGCTTGGAGCAAATCAGCAATGGCTATAGAGAGGTATGGAAATATCACACCGTATTTCAGGAGGGAAAGAGAAGGGGGGAGGGAGATCATATCTTCCAGGGATGTTATTCGGATTCTTTTTTTCACTACCTAAATGATACTTCTTTTGAAAAAATGAAATATTCATTATAATGAAATCATCTTGAGAAAAGTTTATAAATTGAGGATATATAGCATGAAACCTTTTTAACACTCATCTCTGTAGTCCCAGATGACCTCAGATTGGTGCATTTGATATTCCTCTTGCAGGATGCTCCTTGTCACCTGGGAAATATTGACACATGATGCGTCATTGTCCTGAAATGTAGGTTTGGAACATGCTGGTTTTTCAGCAGTCCCTGTAAGCTCGATTACTCCCCAAATCCCAGTTTTAAAAAATATGGATAGCTGAAACCGGTTTGGTTCAGTGGATAGAGGTCTGCCTGCTGACTGAAAGGTCCCAGGTTCGATTCAGGTCAAGGGCATGTACATTGGTTGCGGGCACATCTCCGGTAGGGAGTGTGCAAGAGGCAGCTAGTCGATGTTTCTCTCTCATCGATGTTTCTAGCTCTTTATCCCTCTTTCTCTATCCTCTTTGTGTAAAAAAAAAATTAATAATATATATATGTGTATATATATATGTGTGTGTATATATATATATATATATATATATGAATATAGCTTACTTGTATACTTCTGTTGGTAGTAGCAGTAATTAAGGTGGATGGTCTTTAAACCAGGTGGATTTAAATATAATATTATAATTTAAATATAATATTACAATATTTTTGAGAAACTTTTAGTTTTGATAAGAAAAATAATGCTTAAAGTCTGTGCTTATGCAAAGTTAAATTGAGCTAATTTTTTTTCAGGCCCATATCAAACTTACATAAAACATGTAGAAATATTTAGGCCATAGTATTTTTTGGCATCAGTGTAAGTATTTCTTTATAATTTACTTATTTTTGTGTGTCAAAATGATTGATGTTTATATTTTAAAGTCATTTTTATTAAAAAAAAATATGAATAAAGGCAGCATTCATTCATCCCTTCCAGTTCCTAATACCTAGAAGAAATCACTTAAAATTATTTTGTGGTTTCTTCTGGTACTGACTCCCATATTTCTAAATGAAATTTGTGTACTGTGTTTTTTGGTAACTTTGATTTTAGGTGCTACCTATTGATTTACTGGAAGTCAACTTAAGGAAGATGAATTTTCTCTTCTTGCAGTACCTTGAGCTGGGCTCTATTACTGTACACCACTTCCCCAGCAACCTCCCAACCATCAGTTTCCATCTCAGAATAGCTGTATCACAAGTTTAGTTAAGTAATAATTATTTGCATTATTATAATTAGGAAAATAGATCATACTTCTTTCTCTTTCTTTGTTGCAATTTTCTTATTTCTCCTGGGATTAAATATGATATTATCCCCTGTTTTTCATTTGCTTATATTTTTATTTCCCCCAAACTCTGTACCAGAGTTTTTATATGCCTCTCAATATAATAAAATACATCAATTTCCATCAGTTCCAAAATTTTGGTTTTATTTTTTTAATAGATTTTTATTGATATCATAGAGGATGGAGAGGGTAAGAGGGTTAGAGAGATAGAAACATCAATGCTGAGAGAGTCATTGATCAGCTGCCTCCTGCATGCCCCACACTGGGGATCAAGCCCGCAACCCAGACATGTGCCCTGATTATGAATGGAACCATGACCCCTAGTTCATAGGTCGATGCTCAACCACTGATCCATGCCACAAAGGACGAAGGACAGGCATTTAGATTTTAGCTTTTCTAGTGTGCAAAGCCAGTCAGCACTCGTCCATATATCATAGAACTTCCAAATTATTGCTGATATTTCTTTGGCAACTCTACTTAAGTTCTGTATGTCCTTTTTGGATTATAACCTCTTTTGTTTTAGTAGTATCAGAATGAAGTAAAACCACATATTGTGTTTTTTTCTAAATCTTTTTTTTCTCTATCATCTTTAATTTTATTTTCTCTGTAGTTCTGAAAAAAAATATTATTGATTTCTCTCTTTCCTCTTTCTCCACATAAAACACACACACACAGACACACACACACACACACACACACACACACATACTCACTCACTCTCATTTAATGCTTTCAGCTGGTTCTTTGAACTATGGAGAAAGACATATAATGAAACCAGTTTAAATGTTGGACATAAGAGTTGAGTTCTTGTGGCATCTTCTCAACATTATAATGAAATGGTATTATTTGAGGAACTGGTGTGTGTGTGTGTGTGTGTGTGTGTGTGTGTGTGTGTGTGTGGTGTACACATCCAGAAGATATACACCAGGGATCTGACACCCAGAGATCAAGAATCTGTATTATGGAAGTAGTTGTTTTTGGATCAGGATTAGCTAACTCATAGAGAGGGGACCCACGTGTATAACATACTTTTTAAATGACTGTGTGTACACACAATCTCTTAACCATCTCCCCGAGCTGTTTCTTCCTATGTAGAACAAAAACCAAGAGATAGCATGTGACAGCCCGTCAGAGTGAAGGAAATTGAATCGCCTACTTATTCTCCTTTATTGTTTTGGCCTAATTGTACCTTCAGGCCTTTAATGCTGGAAAGATTGGCTTTTATGCAGGAAATGACCTGTAAAAACTCTATAAAGGTAAGAGACCTGAAGAGGGATGAGGTTTTACGAACTGCATCTTTGGGAGCTAAATAAAATAGTGTGTGGCCAGGGAAGCCTCAGGGTGCCATCCAGCAAGAATATAGCCACAGATTATTAACTCGAATAACTTTCTTATACTCAAGGGTGAATCTTCATTTCTGTGGGGCCTGGAGTCTGTATGATTTGGTGGATCTCTTCAGGAAATATAATTAATTCAAACTTACAAATTTCACAATTGCTAAGGCCCCTCCCAGAACCATGAAAGATGAGGTGCCACTAAGCCTTAGTGACTAAGGACTCCTGAAGTTTAAGCTTTAAGACTTATATAAAATAAGCTAGAAAATATGTATAATGTAATGGAGAAGATATGTATACATATACCACATATATATTTCATAGATAGCATATAACTCAAGTATGGTCCAAATAAAATGCTAGGGAAGTATACAAAAGCTGGGGGTTGGGGTTTTCCTGGAGGAGATATAATTTAAGTTGATATTGAATGATAGTTGGAATTTTGGTTCAGAAGAGTTGGTGGTAAGAATAGATGGAGTAAAGGGGAGGAAAGACAGTCATTTTTGAGCAGTTTGAAGTAATGACTGTTCACCTTGGCTGAAGTAGATAGGTGAAGTGAGGGCATGATGTGGTTGGGGACAGGATACAGAGTTAAGGATAGTGATGTGGCTGTGACCAGATCCTAAAGAATAGTGACCCCCATGCTATTGAAAAGAATCTTCTAGGCAGTACAGGAACCAGTGGGAGAGTCTGAATATGCCCATACCATATTTAGAAGTGGACTTCAGTGCAATTGTTTTAGCAGCAGCTTAGTGGCTCGATGGAAGAAAGAAGAGAACAGAACCATGAAGCCAGGTAGCAGGTAGAATTTAAAGCCATATCCATCTCTCTCAGCAGCTTATGCTCTTTCCACTGTCACATTATTGAGAAGCAGGCTACAGCTTCGGTGTGAACTTCATGTCTCCCAGATTGGTCTTTAGTGTACTGTTAGTTCTGCCTTCTGTTATAAGGTATTTGTTTTCTATCTTATTAGCTTTGCACGACCATACTTTATATTAGTAATGATTAAAAACAGGAGGGACAGTTAGATGTTGGTGATAGTGATGGACAAAATCACTGACCACTGGAGAGGAACTGTATCTCATTTGTTTACTTATGACATAGGTTGAAAGCCCAGGACATTTTACATGCAAACACAGATGAGAAATTAGCTTGTCTGTGTTCTCTCCATACAGCTCCTTGCAATCTGTGACATTTAAGAATTATGAACACTTTCTAAAATAACCAATAACAGTTATTAACGAGTTTGCAGTATAATATTTTTTTTATTTCACAGAGAAATCAAAAGTGGATGTTTGTTTATTTAAGCTATATTTGATGGGACTTTATAAAATAGTTCATATTTAGTAATAAATTTTTTACACAAACTTTTACCCAGACTTTTTTTGTTTCTAAATTTCAGCTTTTCTTCCTAAAATTGTTCTCTCCACTATTATTTTAAGCTAAAATTACACTAGTTAATTTGGATGTCTGTAGGTATAGCTCTATTAAACACTTGTTTGTAATAATATTTATACTTTCTTATTTATTTACTTGATTGATTTAAAGGTAAAAATATATTTTATAATTTAATTTTTAATTGATTGGTGAAAGAGATCCTATATAATAAAAGGCTAATATGAAAATTGACCAAACAGCAGATCGACTGGTTTCTATGATGTGCACTGACCATCAGGGAGCAGATGTTCAACACAGGAGCTGCCCCCTGGTGGTCAGTGCACTCCCACAGGAAGAGTGCCACTCAGCCAGAAGCCCTGAGCCAGGCTCACACTGATGAGCACAGTGAACGTGGCAGGAGCCTCTCCCACCTCCTCAGCAGTGCTAAGCCGTCAGTCGGACATTGCCTGAGGTCTCCCAGACTGCGAGAGGGCTCCCCGCCTGAGTGCACAATTTTGTGCACTGGGCCTCTAGTTAAACTATAATTTGTATATCAATGGAAGACATTATTTCACATAATGATGGCAATTTAGTAAATTTCATCCATTAACAGGGACATGCATTAGGCCAATAATATTTGTATAGTTTTAGTTCAAATGCTTTGGAGTATAAACATTTCAAGTACAAATTGTGTTTATAATCCAAAATATTATAATTCTGTCATATAAAGTGCTTGAATAATGACAGTATAAAGTATATAATGACAGTTAATTAAGTATAAAAGCATAAACATTAAGAAGGATAATATTGGTCAAATTAAAGACTACAATTTATAAACCATTTATTACTACCATTTATTATGACTCTTAATGTATTATATTTAAAATATATTCTCTGTATTT